CATCATGTCAATATGAACCAAAATCTCTGAGGAATGTTTCTAGCACCTTGTTGAATCTATGCCACGAAGAATTGAGGCAGTTCTAAAGGCAAATGGGGGTCCAACCCGTTACTAGCGTGGTGTACCTAATAAAGTGGCCGGTGAGTGTAAACCCAAACAATAATTCATATAGCTTCACATTTTACTTTTCATATACCTTCAAAAAACTAGCTTTTATCTGTTTTTTAAATACTGTATATACATAGATCTGGCATTTTTAACATCATCCTTCAGACCATTCCACAATCCTATACCCTGGATTAAAGTACATCTTTCTTTCAAACAAGTACGAAATTATGGCTTCACAAACATTTTGATTTGAAGATAGCATGGTAAATTGAATTTTCTGGCAATGATTTACAGATGTACTCCTGAGCTATTTCATTTTAGAATTTTTTCTATGTTACATTCTGAATTACATTGCTTGGCCAAAATAAAGTCTCCACCTGTATTTAACTAAGCAAACAGGTACGAACGAGCCTCCAATTAGATAATTACTGCATGAGTGATTATCTTTAGCTGGCAGCAAGTTATTTAACTCCAACTGGAGCAATGAGTGTCTTCTCATTTCTTCAACAGCCATGTGGACAGACACATCCAGTGGTTGTGGAAAAGATGTCAGTCTGTTTGAATGTGTGCCATATTAAAAGCTAAAGGTGGTCCAACAAAATATTAGAGCATGAGACCTTTTTTTTTTTGGCCTGGCAGTGTTATTATGGGCATATAAAATTTGCAAATCATTGAATTGTATTTTTTTTTATTATCGGTTTTGTTCATTAAAACATGCACTGAAAGTTATAAAATGTATTTTAACTTAATACTAAGACCTATTAACTGCAACTAGAAGCTTCTCTCCCACGTGGTTTCTTTCTTGCTTTGGCTGAATTAGCCAAAGTGTGTCCAGCATGCCTGGTGCTGTTTAAAAACATATACGTATGTATGGCCAGAGTTTGAATCTTTGCACCAGTGGGAAGTAGTGAAGACATTTGGGAAAACAAAGGTACTAGTGTGCTTTCAAAAGATGAGAGAAAATAAAGGCAGAAAATGAAACCGGTTAACTTTAAAAACTTTATTAGCAAAAGAGAACTTTAACTTCACATAATAAAACTGTTTTTTTGTTTGTTTTTTTACCTGTAATATCTGGTTGATAATCACATCCATCTCACGTCTGTATTGAGCTGTGTAGAAGATTTGATTAGCTGCAGCTGTGGGGCTTGTGCTGGTGTTTATCAAATCCTTTACTGTCTCTCTGTTGATGCTGCTCTTTGCCAGCCCCTCTCTGTCAGAAGAAAAAGTAGAATTTCCTGCTCTCTCTTCCCAGCATGCTCTGCCACTGGACCTTGGCTCTGGCCAGGTGAGCCTCTTTGTTCTGTGTTCTGCCACCAGACTGGGCTCAACTAGTATTTGCAAAATACACCAAGAATATATAAAACATATTCAAAAGATTACGTGTTGAGTTTTACACCACGTGTGTGCAGGTGTACTCAAGGTTAATGAACAGGATGGGTAATTGTTAGAGGAAAGAAATTTTTTAAATTTATCCCTTCCTGTTAAATGTTTTTACTTAAATATGTTCTGTGTGAGTAAGTGTGATCTGGTTTGCACAGATACATCTAATACCAGCTATTTGATCCCTGTTTATTAAAAGTCACTGGATCATCTTCATATCACACTTAATCATTTCAGCTAACCTTTCTTTCCATTTTGTTGAGTTTTTTTTATATCTCATCAGATGACACTGGTCATTTTTATCCCACAGGACCATGCTGCTCACATCAGTATCACCAGTAGCCTCTCATCCAGGCTTGTCACCACGTTATACAGTATCTCTGTGATGCTTTTACTTGAATGTCGACAACCACACATGCCTCTCCTTATTTCACCCTCCCTCTGCTGTTCTCCTCCCTCTCTAACAGGTTCATTTGACGGAGGAGCTGGCTTCATCCACAGCCAGAGTGTCTCAGTTGCAGCTTGAAGCTTCAGCTCACCAGCAAAAAGCTGCAGAGCTGCAAAACAAACTTAATTCAGCACTGCAAGAGGGCGAAAGCCACAGCCAACGCGTCACGGCCCTGGAAACACAGCTGGAAGGTTTGGAGAACTCTGAGCATGTCGTGACATCGGGTCACAGTAGGATCTCTTCACAAAGAACCCCACGGGTTCTTCAAAGCTAAAACTAATATCTACTGCTGCAGACTAGTTGGTCACTCAAAACTGCAAGAAAACCTATTATTTGTTGCAGTTTCAAGAATTTTTGATTGTTTGTGACCAAGTGATCGATGGCTGCACGATGTTAGGAAAACCTGCGATGTGCACTGACAGTGCTTAATACTGCGTTGACGATTTGACTTCCGATAATTTAACAAATACATTATGTGGTGTTGATGTCACATTTAAACACTTTATTTGTACATTTAAATTTTATAATGTTGATTACACTGTCATGTATAGATGATTATTCTCAGAATGCAAAGACAGAATAGACCGAACTGCTTAAGAATGAATTTGCCTCTGTGTAGGAACTGGAATCAGCAAGATGTGAGAATCATTTGGAAATGTGTGGTTTGTTATAAATGCTGCTGACCACCAGATGTCACTAATGGGGGTCTGGTTTTAAAGGGGACATGTACTAAACCAACTTTTTTGCCCTAAATACATTTTGTTGTGTACTTGGAGTCTCTAGGAGGCAGAAAATTAGAATTTAGTCTCTCTCAGTGCTGCGTGGATATTTTTATATTCTGTTTGGGCCATATTTTTCAGTCCGTTAAGATTTCTCTGATCCTTTACATATTTTGAACGATAACATCACAGCGTTTGCTGTGGAACTGCTAGGAAAGGTCATGGACTTCCAGCTTATCAATTTTGGGAGTCCACTGCACTGCACTTTTATTGTCTTCTTTGCCCCCTCGCTCTGGGTCAGACTCTGACTCAAACATGTAAGGCTTGATGAACAAGTGTTCTGTTGTTGACATCTTTTAATCAGTTTGTAAATAAGAAGTTGTATCTCTGATATGAAACTACAAAAATGGCCATATAGCTGATATGCTGTGTGACTCACTCATTCATCTATGCTGAGTGAGGATGTTGTAAGATAAGGTGTGTGTTGTGTTTGGTGTTTTTATCTGGCAACCCTGATGCCGGTCTCACTCATGCACCGATCAGTGGCTGTATTATCACAGTTATGTCCAGCAGATCAGCTGTTTTGACTCAAAATATAATAATTTTAAAGGAACAGTAAAGCGCGTTACTGTGTATCATTTGGCAACCCGGCCTGGCACATTAATGCAGCAGTTCCATATTGTCCTAGCCTGGCCCTTGCCTTCCTACGCAGCCCCGCTCAGTTCTAGTTTCCCTTCACTGTCCGTCTGGGACTTCTCCCATTGACAAGGATTTCGCTGGCAGATTTTTAGCCGGGCCAATCAGAGAACAGAACGTCGACTTTCTGCGCAGTGTCTGCTAGTTATTTTAGCATACGGCAGTGGAGGAAGTGAATGAAGCCAGTCTGTGTTGATAAGGCTTCCAAATTAAATTAAATTTGTCTGACAAAGCAGCAGCTCTCATTTACAGTCGTCTCGTTCGGCTCGGTACTTCTCTCCTCTCAGTAGGGTTGTTTACAGCACATGCGATTTCCGGTTAACTTCATAGCTTAGCCTCCGTCACAGCGACATACGTCGCAGCCAACGGATCCAATCATTTTAAACTTCAGCAGAGGCCACGCCTCCTGCAAGAAATCGATTCTCTATGCATCAAGTCCAGACCCTTGTACGAAGCAAAGTGAAGGACGGTCTGGTTTAAACCAGGCTAATATTGCCCCAATAAACATAAAATACCTACATTTCCAGAGACTGGACTCGTGTAAGCAGGCCTTAAATGTGAAAAGGTAGGATTTGAAAGCATTGAAGGACATTTGTGATCAATAAATGGAAATCGATAATATAGCAGACAACCAGTTGAATGTCTTTAAAACCTTTATTCTTGTCTTCAATCAGCTCCTCAGGAGTGCAGCAGTCAGGCTTCTGTCAGCCAGAAGGCCTTGGCGCCTTATCAGAACACAAATAAACTCTCGGGAGCAGCATCTGTCCCAGGCTGAATCTAAAGAAGAGACTTCACAAAGCTAACAAAAAACTTCCTCTTACTTCTGGTTACACCCCTGAAGGTGGGACCTTTTACGTCAGACGTTAGAACGTAACAAACTTTGTCATGCAGACAGTAAGAACACATTGATAATACACAAAGTCTCATTCTTTGTTTTAAACCATATGATTGCAATGATCAGAATGTATAAAAATACAAGACTTGCATCTAACATTCAGTTTATCAGTTACAAACGTTCCTTCAGCATGATATGTCCCTTTTAAAAGCTTTTGAATCTTTCTTTAGCACACTCAAGACAAAGCCTCAAAACCTTCACAAGGCTTCATCTACACATCTCTTATTTTGGAGCTTGATAACTCACTGAACCTGACCAACTCATCAAGAGTTGTTCTTTTTGGAGAGAAACCTTTTTTTCCTTTAAATTTGACAGTATAATGTTTTTCTGAGAGTTTAATAAACAAAGTAACAGGAGCGTGCTGCATGTTAGGTGACTGTGGAAAGCACTTGTCTAGCAGTTTTGTATTACTGACTTTCAGAAGTGAAAGAGGCAGCAGAACGGGCTCAGACTCAGTACCGCTCAGAGAAACAAAGGCGCAAAGAGGTGGAGCTAAAAGTTAACACTTTGGAGGAAGAGCTACAGGACCTGAAAGCCGACAAAGCAAACCTAGAACATGTGAGTTTGAATTATTTTAGATTTTGTTTTTGTCTAAGACATAATTATGTTGAATAAACTGTGTGTAAATCATAAAAACAAGTACAAGATTAAAAAAAATAGAAGTCCTAGATAAGAGATAGTTCTGTATCTTTTCACCTGAACAGGCACTTTCAGAAAGGAAGAAGAAATGGCAAGAAGAGCGTAAACAACGAGATGAGGAGGTGGAGGAGCTACGGAAGAGCAGCCAGCAGGAACTGGACAATGTCCGAGCTCAGCTTCGAAAGGCCAGGACCAGCAATGATAACGCTGCGTCTGAACAGGTGGGGTAATGTTTACAACAGTGGAAGTACCTGCAGAAAGGCCATTTTATGGCTGTATTCATCTTGAGCCTTCTGTTTGTGCTGTAGTTGTCTCAGCTGCAGGCAGAGCTTGAAGCAGAGTGGAAGAAGTCATCAGAGCACTTACTGGTTTCAGCTAAAGAGCAGCATCGCAGAGAACTGTCTGAAGTAACAGAGCAGAAAGACATTCTTCAGAACAAGTTAACGCAACTACAAGACAAGGTAGACCAGGTAGCCTTCATAAACRCACAGACACAATGGTTTTTATCTCCTCATGGGGACTTTGCAATTACTTCCATTCCATTCCTTCATTTTCCCGTCTTTTCTATTGACCCTTTGCACCCACGTGATACTGGCATGTCAGACGGCAGAAGACACAGAGCAGTGTATTGAATTGAATGGCAGTGATTGTTTTTTGAAGCTGTTTTTTTGCCATGGTTTCTACTTGTTAAAGTTTAGATAATTTTTCTGTGGAAGTCGCACACCTAGTTGGGGCTCACAGACAGTGTTATTTACAGAAGTTGGACATAGCTAGCTTAGAAATAGACCCATATCTTCTCCCTCCAGACGTGTTTGTTAGGTTCTCATAATGGCCAAGGTAAGACTTGCTTGTTAATGCTAATGTATTTTTATTTGCTGATTCCATACGTTATTCTAGATGTTTTTCAAAGCGACCTCTGTCTGACGCTTGTGTTACATTGCGTCTGCTTCCTGAGATCCCACTGAGCAGATATACTACCGTTAGCATCAGACCTTATGAATCCAGTCAGAGACGCTTTCTTACTTATTTTCTTCATCAGATCTTTCTGAGCAGTGCTTTCTCCACTCTGTTTGACTGGTTCATAGCGGTACGGACGGCTGGTTTTTAGAGCCGACGACAGCTAGCATGCTAGCAAGCTAACAAGCTAGTAGCTTCTCTTCATGTAGCTCCAGGTACAACAGCGCTCCGAGCTGCACTTCTTTCTGTTTAATTTTTAGCTGAAATGATCCATTCCCAGTTAAATTAAAAAGATGAACAGCTTTGACGATCAGCTGGTCTGATTTTATGACCACCTGAATGAGCAACTGGTGTTTACTCCATCAATGCGGAAAAAATAAATAAAAGCTTCTCCACCTTTCACTCAACAACACTGATTCAACATTGAGTAAAAACAACTATATTTCCAGTTATCACTGTTGTTTATGTCTTCACTATGACACGAAGTGCTGCAGGTGGGCAGACGGAGAGATTATAATATTTTAGAACCAGCAGCGCTGCGTCTTCAGCCCATTACTGCTCGGTCCGAAACAGGAGAGACACTCCGGTCCGGTTAACCAGAGAGTCTCCAGATCCGACCGACTGCGCAGCAGCTTAAGACTACGATAAAAGGACAAGTTTGGTTTGTTTCCTTGTCTGTTTCTGCAGCCGACTGCGCAGCAGCTGAACACCATTTTTACAGCTAAATCAACAGGAGGAAAGAATGATATTAGGCTACCAACTGCCTGATTCTCCTCTAGCTCAATAGTAGCTTATAGACGCATGTCTGTTTCTGCCATCCAACATGGAAAAAAGAGGCGGTCTTCTGAGGCGCGTGACGTCATGTGCAAAGGGTCAATAGCCTAACCCTGACCCTTAACCCTAAACCTGACCTCCCCAGTACACAGCTAACACTAAACCTAGCCTAAATTCAAAACTAATCCCTCCGTCCAAAACCATAAACCTATACCTCTATTCCTGTGGAGACAAGGTATGGTCCCATAATGAGTGTTGGGTCATCACAAGGCTGTGTTTGTCTGGAAAATGGTCCTCATGATGTAGCAAATGTGCATCCACACACACTCACTGAATGGGACTCTTAAGCACCTCACAATTCGTTTTAATTATCTATTTTATTAAGTCAGAATTACACATCTACTCAAACTATTTAAATAAAATGAACATAGGACTTTGTGAATAAATAACTATGAAAACTAAATTAATCTAAAAGCCCAACCAAACAGGAAAATCTTCAATTTGCTTAAAAAACATTGCCAGCTATGCTCAACCCTTCATGAAACAAGAAGAAAATGTCTCATTATGTGCTTTTGTTAAAGATATCTCTTTATCCACAGCTGAAGCAGTCGAGAGGATCAGAAGATCATTTGCTGCAGCACAGAAAGCAGAGTGAGGACCTGCAAGCACTTCAAGAAAAAGTATGTTGAATAATTACTTTTCTATACGTCAAATTAGAATAAACAGATAAGAAACTTATATCTTTCTTTAAAACTACTTGTAAACAGAATATGATTTAATTTTTAGTTTTTATACTTTTATTTTCTTGAACATCTGCCTTTTCTGATTATTGCTGACAACTGTGAACTGAATGACAGATTTTCTTCAGTGTAAAAAGCAGGCCATCTTCAAGCAGTATGCACTGTGGCCATATGACCTAGAACAGACTAAATAGCTACTTTTTCAAATGTCTAGAATCCTAACGTGATACTTCTAAAAACAGTTCTAAACTCACACACGTGGACAAAATTGTTGCTACTCCTCGTTTAATGAAGAAAAATCCACAATGGTCACAGAAAGAACTTGAATTTGACAAAAGTAATAATAAATCATTTTAATGAAAATTAACAAATGAAATTCAGTCATTGTTTTTCAACCAGGCTTCAACAGAATTAAAAAACAGCCCTGGACAGAAATGATGGGATCCTTTACTTAATATTTTGTTGCACAACCTGTTGAGGTGATCACTGCAATCAAACGATTCCTGTAACTGTCAATGGGACCTCTGCAGCTCTCAGCAACCTGTCCTGTACCCTGCCTCTCATACAGAGACTTTTCTAGATAGGCACCAGCTCCTTTGTGACCTGTGTGCTGTCTGTGGGCAGAGTGCATGGCTTTCTGACCACCTTGTTACGGCCCGGCTCTAAAGACCATAACAGCAGCCCAGACATGCTGGCATAGCCGGAACTGCTGATCCAGCATCTGACCCTCTGTCATGGTTTCTTTCAAGCATGGACTGGTTGTCCCTGGCCCACAGCTGCACACGACCCACGCTTTCATGCCGCTCACACTTCCCACACGCCTGCCGCATCTGCCATGTATGGAATGGAAGCTCCTTTATACACTGCCTGGCAAAAGAAAGTGTTCACCTGTATTTAACTAAGGTCTAAGATGTGTGGTTGCTGCAGGTGGTCAGGTCTTGGTTCAGCAACAGTCTGTGCTCAAAGAATGAGGTCAGCTGACCTGAATATACTGAATGACCAGGTTATTCCATCGATGATTGCTTCTTCCCTGATGGCACGGACATATTCCAAGATGACAATGCCAGGATTCATTGGGCTGGAATTGTGACAGAGTGGTTCAGGGAGCATGAGACATCATTTTCACACATGGATTGGCTCTACAGAGTCCACTGAGAATCTTTGGGATGTGCTGGAGAAGGTCAGACTCTACCATCATCAATGAAAGATCTTGGTGTAACATTAATGTAACACTGGATGGAGATAAATCTGGTGACAATGAAGAAGCTTATCCAAACAATGACACAGAGAATGTGTGTCGTAATCAAACATATTGGTGGTCCAACCAAATATTAGAGTGTGTGACCTTTTTTTTGGTCAGGCAGTGTACAGTATATGGACCAGGTGACTATGTGACTTTTGGTACCTCTAATTGCAGTACCTTGATGGAAACACAGTTAGTAGGCCACACTGTGGCAGCTGGGGCTCGTCACATACCTCCTCAGACAGAGTACTAGCTGATCTCTCTCTTTGCGGACACACAAACTTCTCAGTGAGTATCGATCATTAAGATGTACACTCACCGGCCACTTTATTAGGTACACCACGCTAGTAACGGGTTGGACCCCCTTTTGCCTTCAGAACTGCCTCAATTCTTCGTGGCATAGATTCAACAAGGTGCTGGAAGCATTTCTCAGAGATTTTGGTCCATATTGACATGATGGCATCACACAGTTGCCGCAGATTTGTCGGCTGCACATCCATGATGCGAATCTCCCGTTCCACCACATCCCAAAGATGCTCTATTGGATTGAGATCTGGTGACTGTGGAGGCCATTTGAGTACAGTGAACTCATTGTCATGTTCAAGAAACCAGTCTGAGATGATTCCAGCTTTATGACATGGCGCATTATCCTGCTGAAAGTAGCCATCAGATGTTGGGTACATTGTGATCATAAAGGGATGGACATGGTCAGCAACAATACTCAGGTAGGCTGTGGCGTTGCAACRATGCTCAATTGGTACCAAGGGGCCCAAAGAGTGCCAAGAAAAGATTCCCCACACCATGACACCACCACCABCAGCCTGAACCGTTGATACAATGCAGGATGGATCCATGCTTTCATGTTGTTGACGCCAAATTCTGACCCTACCATCCGAATGTCGCAGCAGAAATCGAGATTCATCAGACCAGGCAACGTTTTTCCAATCTTCTCTTGTCCAATTTCGATGAGCTTGTGCAAATTGTAGCCTCAGTTTCCTGTTCTTAGCTGAAAGGAGTGGCACCCGGTGTGGTCTTCTGCTGCTGAAGCCCATCTGCCTCAAAGTTCGACATGTTGTGTGTTCAGAGATGCTCTTCTGCCTACCTTGGTTGTAACTGGTGGTTATTTGAGTCACTGTTGCCTTTCTATCAGCTCAAACCAGTCTGCCCATTCTCCTCTGACCTCTGGCATCAACAAGGCATTTCCGCCCACAGGACTGCCGCTCACTGGATGTTTTTTCTTTTTCGGACCATTCTCTGTAAACCCTAGAGATGGTTGTGCGTGAAAATCCCAGTAGATCAGCAGTTTCTGAAATACTCAGACCAGCCCTTCTGGCACCAACAACCATGCCACGTTCAAAGGCACTCAAATCACCTTTCTTCCCCATACTGATGCTCGGTTTGAACTGCAGGAGATTGTCTTGACCATGTCTACATGCCTAAATGCACTGAGTTGCTGCCATGTGATTGGCTGATTAGAAATTAAGTGTTAACAAGCAGTTGGACAGGTGTACCTAATAAAGTGGCCGGTGAGTGTATGATGTACAGGAGTTAGCATGTGTGCATCAAGGTGCTATCCTGCTGTCTACCAACAGACAGCCCGCTCAGTGGCAAGCTTCGCTCCGTGCAACACACAACATATACACAAATAGGTTTCAAGGTATTAGGTGCAGCACCTTTTAAAGCTGCTTATCTACTAAAAGAAAAATACATTTCAGTTTTATAATTCATCAAGCTTTTTGTCTCCACATGGTTTGAAGGACACTGTTTAGATAAAATTGGATGAATAAAGAAATGCACTAATGGTTTTATCTGATTGTACATGACTCATTCTTAGATTCATTCCAGTAATGGTGAGTTGTTGTTCCATCTCTGGATCTGGGATGTTTATTTTCTGTTGGGAAAAAAATTAAATGAAATAATTAGTACACTGCCTGCCCAATAAATAAGTCTCCACCTGGATTTAACTAAGCAAACAGGTACGAGCCTCCTGTTGGATAATCACTGCAGGGCTGATTATCTTTCAGCAACAAGTTATTGAACCCAACTGGTTCAATGAGTTGTTTCTCATTTCTTAAACAACCAAAGACACGTCCTGTGGTCGTGGAGAAGATGTCAGTCTGTTTGAGAAGAGTCAAATCATTGCAGAGAAAACATCTAAGAGATTGTAGAAACTACTAAAACTGAGTTAAGAACTGCCCAACACATTAAAAACTGGAAGGATAGTGGACCCATCGTCTTTGAGGATGCTCCCATCATGTCTACTGTACAGCCTGTGTGGGGGGGGCTATGATTGGTTGCTGCAGTTGGTCCGGTCTAGGAAGCTCATTCAAACAATGCCACAGTGAATGTGTGCTGTAATCAAAGTTAAATGTGGTTCAACCTAATATTAGTATGAGACCTTTTTCTTTGGCCAGGCAGTGTATTTGGTTTTTGTTTCTTTATCCTGTGACCTTGAGACCGAGGCACGTACCAAACCTTGATTCAGGTGTACCATTACACCCCAGGACTGTTGTAATAACGTGCTGTTAAAATGGACACTAATCCTAAGGAAACCATGTTGTTGCCACAAGGCTTCATGGTTTGCATGTTGTCTGAAAAATGCTGACAAACTCCTCGCGTTGTGACTCTGATTATGAATTCTCTTCCAGTACTTTGCCTTGGAGCAACAGACGACTGCTGTAAGGCAGGAACTGGAGAGAAGAGTGGCTGAGCTGCAGAGGCAAGTGGAAAACTCCGAGAGCTCAGGAGACACTGCAGCAGAGGTAACAAGTCCGTGTGCAGTTTGTTCCAACATCTGTCTTTCCATCTTCAGATGTCTGTTGGAGGACATGTTATGTGTTGTTGCAGGTGAAGCGGGTGATGAATGGAGTGTTTCGTTCTCTGCGAGCAGAGTTCAATCTCAGTGAATCTTACAGTGGCCAGGCGGTGCTGCAGGTCATAGTCGCTACTATTAAGGTCACTAGTTCCTCTGTATTAAAACCATCTAAACACGCCTTGTAAAAATGTTTATATTCCGCGTGATGGCAGATGACACTCACTGGGTCATATTTGTTGTTTGTCAGAATGTCACTCTGCAGTTGCTCAATGACACAGACAGATCCACTCACAGACCAGCTGCCAAGGAGGAGGAAGAAGAGGAAGAAGGACCTGAGGATGTGAAGCAAAGTGAGAACACATTTCATCACGAACATGTTAATGGAAAGAGAGAAGTGAACGAAGAGGAGGACAAGCAGGATGAGAAAGACATGGCTGACTCCGATTCTCATCAAGTCAGTGAGGCCCAGGTGATGGAGGAAGTAAAAGAAGAAGAGGAGGCTGTGACAGAGTCAGAGGCAGCAGGTCAGGCAGAGGTTTCTGATTCTCACCCAGTTTTAACGTCTCACATCCCATCACAAGATACAACAACAGGTGTGGACTGTGAGCAAGAACAAGCCTCTGCTCCTGACAACTCTACAGAAAGTGTTTCCCTCAAATCTGAGGATCCCGATGATGAACCTGAGAAGAGTCCACAGCTCAGCGATGGTCAGGAAACATACAGTACAGTGAGCACTGAGGTAGATGTTAAGAGTTTTGAAGAAACAGAGAACAAAGGAGAAATAACTGCTGCTTCTCAGAAAACCTTTGGACCACCAGTAAACCCACCTCCACCACCCGTTGCTCCTCAGAACAGTTCTGAAGAGGACACCAGGTGAGTCATCTGTTGGTGGACTCAGATTTCATAAATGTTCAGTGGAATAAGCCCAAACTGAGCTGATTCCTGTAGGGAAGGATGGAGCGAGGCAGGCCTTATTTGAACTGTTCCATCTTCTCGGCAGCTCTGAGGTGAAGTCAAAACAATAATGCAGTCAGAATTTGAATGGTTGGGTAGGAATTCTTACACGGACCCTGAGCAGAACTAACCCTGACTAGAGTGTTTCCAGTTAGACTGTTGATGTAGATGATAATATATTTTCCCCAGATCATCATCATTGTTTGAGTCCTGCTGTATGAGAAGAGAACAATTATAAAGGGATCCATGATTAGTTGGAACATTAGACTGTATTTGATAAACATTTATTTTAACTGTAAAATAAAGACTGTAAAAATACTGTAGGCTGTTTAGTTTTGTAAATTTTTTAAAATATATTTTAACATAGACGGGGCCATTTTATTTACACACAAAGCATTCTGGGTAAATGACGACGTGGATAGGTCCTCTGTGTGAGTGAGCTATGTCCATCCTGAAGGTTAATCTTGGACAATATTTGATGATCAACTCTTTTAAATGAAACCAGAGAGCGTTGACAGAGAGGAGAAGGTAGAAATGACTCAGCTGTAACTGAAAATATGGATGGAGGACAACAGAGCTGCTTCATGGAAGAAGAACCTCAGTTTAGCCTGTTAGTTTGTCGCGCTAGCTCCGACCTAATACATATAAGGCAATATACAGTGGGGAGAACAAGTATTTGATACACTGTTGATTTTTCAGGTTTTCCCACTTGCAAAGCTTGAAGATTGTAATTTTTATCATAGGTACTCTTCAACTGTGAGTGATGGAATCTAAAACAAAAATCCAGAAAAATACAATGTATGATTTTTAAATAATTAATTTCCATTTTATTGTGTGAAATAAGTATTTGATACACCAGAAAAATTAAACTTAATATTTGGTACAGAAACCTTTGTTTGCAATTACGGAGATCAGACATTTCCTGTAGTTCTTGACCAGGTTTGCACACACTGCAGCAGGGATTTTGGCCCACTCCTCCATACAGATCTCCTCCAGAGCCTTCAGGTTTCGGGGCTGTCGCTGGGCCACACGGACTTTAAGCTCCCTCCAAAGATTTTCTATTGGATTCAGGTCTGGAGACTGGCTAGGCCACTCCAGGACCTTAAGATGTTTCCTACGGAGCCACTCTTTAGTTGCCCTGGCTGTGTGTTTTGGGTCGTTATCATGCTGGAAGACCCAGCCACGACCCATCTTCAGTGCTCTTACTGAGGGAAGGAGGTTGTTGCCAAAATCTCACCATACATGGCCCCATCCATCCTTCCCACATATTCAGGTCATTGACCAGGTCCTGCCGTGTAGTTCTGGGCTCATTCCTCACCTTCCTCAAGATCAATGATGCTCCACGAGGTGAGACCTTGCATGGCGCCCCAGACCGAGGGAGATTTTCCGTTATTTTGTATTTCTTCCATTTTCTAATAATTGCACCAACTGTTGTTGCCTTCTCACCAAGCTGCTTGCCTATTGTCCTGTAGCCCATCCCAGCCTTGTGCAGGTCTACAATTTCATCCCTGATGTCCTTACACAGCTCTCTGGTCTTGGGCATTGTGGAGATGCTGGAGTCTGATTGATTGAGTGTGTGGACAGGTGTCTTTTATACAGGTAACGAGTTCAAACAGGTGCAGTTAATACAGGTAATGAGTGGAGAACAGGAGGGCTTCTTAAAGAAGAACTAACATGTCTGTGAGAGCCAAAATTCTTACTGGTTGATAGATGATCAAATACTTATTTCACACAATAACATGGAAATTAATTATTTAAAAATCATACATTGTATTTTTCTGGATTTTTGTTTTAGATTCCATCACTCACAGTTGAAGAGTACCTATGATAAAAATTACAGTCWTCTACAAGCTTTGCAAGTGGGAAAACCTGAAAAATCAACAGTGTATCAAATACTTGATCTCCCCACTGTATTAGCACAATAGTCATAATTTTGGCCCTCATACTGCGACATATTAACTAAGATCATCCTGTTATAAACTCATGATGTTGGAAGATTTGTTATCATTCAAAGTACCGGTATGTGCTGAAGATAACTTTTCAACTAAAAACACAGAACTTTAGCTCAAAATATGTGAATCTGACTCAGTGAGTCATTTTTTTGTCTTGACTGAATTAAATAAGTTGTTTCGGCCGTCTTAATTGAAATTTTGTCCAAAGGTTAATCAGCTGTAGATGTACATCCAATGATTACTTTTCAGAGTTGCATTAAAATCTGTCCACTGACCAAAAGATATTTTACTAACAGACAGACGAACACACAGGGACTTGGCAATATTAGTTTTGATCCACGTAAAAAAGTTTTGACTCTGACCTGGTGAGAGACCATTCACCCCTCCACCTGCTTTTTAAGGTCAATACATTCTGTTCAAACTTGACTGAATCTGTAGCGTATTTGTACCTCGATCTCAGAAGAAATGAGTTTGTTGCTCTGTGAATCAAGTTTGTGTGATTTATGTTGTTTTTCTCCACTCTCTGCTCTTCTCTCAGTCTGACCGAGGAGAATGGACAAGAGCCATTTTTTCAGAGCCCACCTCCTGCCAACCCCCCTGCTGCTCTTATTGATGAAGAGGAGGAGGATGAGATAGTAAGCAAGGATTTGTAGAGTTTGGACCAAGCTGTCAAATTACTTGTTTTAGTGCTCAGCTTGCCGACTCGAGCCTACATTTATTTTTGTTCTCAAATCGGGACTTTTTTTTCTTTTTTCTGTTTGTGTGCAGAGTTTGAAGGGCCATCCTCCACCCACCCCTCTGTTTGGGGATGAAGACGATGATGACAGCCTGGACTGGCTAAACTGACATCAGCCACGTATTAACTGTTTTCAGCAAAAACAGGCATGGGTTTCTCCATGATGGAGTCTTAAAGGGGACAAGTCTCAGGTGGTGAACTGGACAGAGGAGTCAGGGTCTCTTCTGCTGCCCCCACACTGGTCTTCWCTTATCCCACCAATCAAATCCATCTATTTGATCCTACCGGACACTATTTGAACTCTGATTTCTACATAGCGCTGTAGCAGATTAGTTTCTTTAATCAGAAACGGTGATTCTTTTTTGTGGTTTTTAGACTGTTCAGTAACAATGTTTTTAGGAATAGAAATTTTACACGTTTTTCTAATCTAAAACTCATATTGGAAAATAAATGGCGTAAAAAAATGGGGTTTTCGTTGATTCGGTTTCCCTGTCAGTTTCTGAAATGTAATATCTGATTAACAAGCAAATAAGAATAAATAATTTTTAAAAGTCAAAACATGTTTAAGTGCAGACTTCTGTGTTATTATGACCCCCGCACGTGAAGCGAGGGTCATATTGTTTTCTTACTGTTTTTATTTTTTCGGTGATCTTTGCTCGACTGTAGCACCGGTCAACATGAAATTTGGCAGGACTGTAGATGAGTCCGACCTACACTGAGCCAGCCAACAGCTTTATGATAGACCCCATATTTGAGGAGGGGGCTCCACCTGTAAAGGGGATGTCTGGACATTCAAAAATGCTTAGAACTCAAAAACTATTCAACAGTTTCAGATTTTATTTGTTGCTTAGCTCTGATGAAGGGCTATCCATCGGGCCCACCACTGAGTCCCCGACCCCTCCGGTCCTCGACCCAAAACAATTAATCTGTTCTGCTGAGTTCTGAATTCTGGTTCGTTGGTGCTTTACATACGTGCAGGGGTTATATGCTACCGCTATGCGGTACCTAGTTTGATTTGATTTAAAAAATGTTGACTGACATTGAGTCAGTATCCTTAGACTAGTGTTAAAGGAACTGTTTCTCCAACCTAAAGTGATGTTTGGTCAAATTGTTATGAATAGTTGGTACCTCACCCATCAGAGCAGAGCATGTAGAAAGAGGAAGGCCTCATCTTTTAGGTTTTAAGGGTAGTGGCTAGACAAACATGCATTTTTTAAAAGCAAATGAAACAAGTATTGCTCAACAATGCTATACTAGTGTGAAAGACCATCATATTAGCAACATAAATAAAATTTTATGCATTTGCATGAGAATGCATGTTTAGAATGTCATTGTTCTCTCAAGTGAACAATGTTCTGTTCCCATACATACGTATGTAGGTGTACTGAGGCTGCTGTGTTCATCCCATCAACTCACTGAGCTTTTAGCATATCTGCCAGCTGAGTTAGCAAGAAGCTGATCCTGTGGACTGATACATTTAGGGCTCCTGTGCAGTCTTCCCAGTTTCAAATGTGGGAAAAATATGAGGAAACATTGACAGAGCCAGATTTTACATTGTTTGCAGGTATAGGCATGCATAAGTACTTTTACAAAATATGATATAAAAATCAGTTGAAGGATGAAAAGCAGAAAACAACATAAAAGCTCTTATTGGGAACAGCGTCTTGCTTTGTCACATATTTCTATCCATCTATTAATTTTCTTTACCTGCTTTTTCCTTCACTGATTCACATGTGCAGTGATTATGTGAGAGGTTGGCTACACCCTGGACAGGTCACAAGTCTGCAACATACAGCATTTCTTTAGCAGAACAAACTGTGCACAAATTACATCACGCAAYACCAGCCAATCACCAGCAGGGGGAACTCAAGAACAAAAACAAAAGTGAAGCGAGCACACGTTTCAAGTTGTATGGATTGTCTGTGTATTATGGGGTGCCGTTTGTAAAATTACACAGAAAAAAATAGGGGTTTATTTTTGTCAAAGTCATATTTTTACCAAAAATAATTAATTTTAAATCTACATTTTTAGTTAGCAAGCTAAATATTTAGCTCCAAACTAAATATTTACAAACTAAAGATTGAACTTGCAAATTAAATATCTAATTAGCAATCTAAATATTTAGTTTGTAAACTATGATATTTATAAATTTATGAATAACATTGTGGAATTCTGACTTTGAAAAATAAACCCCTTTTTTTCTTATGAAAGGCTAAGAAAGCAACATGGTGCTGTTAATTTTTGACTGTGTAACTTTACAAACAGCACCCCTTAAATTACATGGAGTTTTCCCTCATTTGAAGGTAAATGGATGTTGAGCAATCTCGCCAATTTTGAATTTTTTTTTTTTCAAAACATCACTTCGAATTTATTTTAATTATGATTTCAGAGTCTGTAAGGGAAAAAAAGAAGACAAATTCCAAATAAAATTAAACATCTCCTAATCCGCTCTACATTTAGAAAGAAGTTCTCCACCTCTCCCTGTCCTCCTGTCCTTGCTCCTCTATGCTTCAGTTATCTCTACCCCACATTTGAGGGTCATGGTACAGGTAAACACCTGACATTTATGAGCTTGACTGCATTGTTGAGCGTTTATTAGCCATTGAATGCGCACAGCATGCCTTTGTTGCTTTAGTTCTTAAATAAAGCAATATTTGTGCAAATAACTGAAAACCAATCAAAGCTATAGCCAAAGTGTCTTTATTTACCTTTTACCAACCTCAAAATAAATAAATAAATAAATAAAAACCTCAGTTTTCTTCATGAGAGTCTTAGTTTCAGATATTTTTAGTTTATCATAAATATAAGCAACACCAGCAAAAAAGAGTTTCAGCTTTTACTTCCTAGTATTTACATTTAGATTTGTTAAAATAATTGTCCATATCCATTTTTATCAAATGAGCAAAACTATGAAAGCATGTGACCAAGATTAATCTCTACCAAAGTGATGGAAAGGCCGACATTCAGTGAAATATGAACTGCTGATGATCTGAAGCATGGTGCAGGGGATGTCATGGCTGCTTCTGGAACAGACTCATTAATATTTATTGATGATGGAACTGATGATGGCAGCAGCAGAATGAATTGGAGTGTACACAAACATCTAGTCTGCCAATTTGAGAAGAAATGCAAAGATAAAAAATCCAAACTAATGGGAAGAAATGTTATCATGAAGTAGGACAATGACCCAAAGCTCACTGCCAACAAAGCTAAGGACTTCATCAGGAAAAAAGTGGAAGGCTTAAGTCTGGTCAAGTCAGCCGCCTGACCTGAACCCAATAAAACAGAAAAGCTGTTGTGAATCATTTCTATAGTCACTGTATTTGTTAATGGCTTTGTCTGTTTGTAACTATGAACTTAAACTGGCTGCCCCCTTAACAGTTGCCCTGAAGCCTTTTGACATGTTTCATTTTATGTAAGGGKGTCATGCTAACTGCAGGAAGTCGTCTGATACCTTGGTTTTCAAAATAAATAAATGAATAAATAAAAATTCCCCCAGTAGCATTTGGAAACATGTAAAGGCAACCACATCGTTTTTGCCCATCAGTGAAACAAAGACTGTTAATTATGGACTCTCTTTCAAAACAAATTTTGTCATCTTTTGAATATGACTCCCAATTTTAAAACAAGAGGGTTTTGTGTGCAGGGGCAGAGCCAGGGGGTGGCCAGGGGTGGCCATGCCCACCACAGACAAATCTTTGGCCACCCTGCTGTACACAACCCTTCCACTGTGAAACAACATTTAGGGGTGTGATAATCTTCCTGAACAGTTGGTGGCAGTGTTTAACAGTTTAAAACCACCAAGCTCTATCACTGAAGAAGAAGYGATGGTTTTATTCAGAACATATGCCTATGTGATCTGACTTATGGTGACAAATGTTTATTTTTTTAGTCATTTTATGTTCTGAAGCTGCATGATGATCTGTCCTTTTTGGTTAGGAGTAGACCTATCACTAAATCATAAAAAGTGAAACACCCCTCTAAATTCACTGTTGGTGGTTATCATGAATATTGCACCTGTTCATTGGATAAGGTTATTACTGTTAGTTTAAAACATGCAGTTGAAAGTCATCATTATTTGGCACAATGATACGTGTTACAATTAAAAATAAACCAATAAACAATATAAAATTATAAGACACCCCCTAAAGTCATTAGATATGATAAATTGTGTCACATTAATTAACCTTATCTCAGCTGTAGCGGTGAGTTTAAAACAGGATGATGGAACTAGTTTAATGAATAATCTGTCTCTGAAATAATTATTAAATCAAGTGTTTATTAATGTAGGTAAAAGTATGTTTAAAAACTTGGTCAAATACACCAGAATGCATGAAATGGCATCTGTTTTGTTCAAAATTTTCTGGAGGAGGACCCCCAGGCCCCCCAACAGTGTGTCCCCCCACTCTTAAAATGGTTCTGGCCCATGTTTATAAGGTAGTCACTGCCTGAATAAGGACATAAAGAAATGAATAAAATACAAAGATCTGCTGAAAAAATTGAAGAAAAAGTGATGTGATTTTCGTGGCCACCACTGTGTGGGTCGTGATCCCAGTCTGGCCACCCATGAGAAAAACGTCTGGCTCCGCCACTGATTGTGTGAGATTTACTATAAATACATAAAATAACTCATCTGAAACACACTGCAGCTGGATCAGAAGCTATCAAGCCTTATACCCTCAAGAAATTTGATCGCATCCTGGAGATCACATCCATAAATACTTGCTCCTGTTTCTGAGTTTGTTGTTGTTGTTGTTGTTGTTGTTATTATTATTATTATTATTATTATTATGGTTACTTTCAAAGTTAGGGTAGCTTTTGTTACCTTTTTTAAGTGCGTTTGTTGATTTGTATATTTTGTAATGTGTTTTATCAGTTGCATTGATTTTTCTGTTTTATTTCTGTATAACAGGTCTCTTTTGCAAGTGACACAATTGTTTCAATGAGACTAATCTGTATAAATAAAGGAAATTAGCTAAGCCTGCAAAGATTTCACCTAAGTAGCTTTAATATAGTGGAACTGGAGAAAATAAAAAATTGAGCTGACAGCTCAAAGTCATCAAGGGCAGACACTGCTTTTCCTGACGAATTAATGGACCTTAAGTTATTTGAACTGCACACTGCATTACCACACACAAATAAACAAACTGGGATTTGAAAGAGACTTTAGTGTGGGAGCTGGCTGTGCCAATGAGTAACAAAGAGTGCCCTGTTAATGGGCAGGGGAAAGGTGGAACACAGTAATGTCTGTGATTCAGAGGGGAGAAATGTTATCACAGTCAAACTGTACACAGAAAAAGTTCCAGTACTTCTCTGCTAGAGCTGGAAAGATAACGCATGCTGTATAACATACAGGCTACTGAGAAACCAACAAGTAACAAATGGAAGTTAAGTCATTCTTTGTGAAGAAATAGAAATATCAATATTAACTTCTGCACACATTCTGGTCCTGTCCAAAGCTACATGGATATTGGCAAGGCATCTTTGAYACCTTTTCAGGACTATTTGGACGAACTGTTCATCCATCACCATTCATCTCTCTCTTTGGGGTGGCTCCAGCAGARGCTTCCCTCAGTGAACATCAGAGGACGGTGTTAGCTTTCTGCTCTCTACTGGCTAGAAGACTTATTCTTCTTCGATGGAAGGATCCACATCCTCCAGTATATGGTCATTGGTTAAGAGAAGTTATGTCTTACATTCATTTAGAGAAGATACTGTTAGGGGATCTGTGAACAAATTCTTTGATATCTGGCAGCAACAAATTCTAAGGCAACTTTGCAAAGTGTTTTATGTGTTAAATATGATTCTCAGATACTACCACATTAAAATTTAACTTCACGTTGAAAAACTTAGTTTGGCCACTTTTGTTTTGGCTAAAGTTGATTAGCTTAGCTTTCATTAAAATTTGYCCWGTGATTTATGAAATATTTTGGTAACAGACACACATAGGCCAGCTTGAATCTTAAAAGTTTGTTCTTGTGTTCAGCTGTGAATAACCATGCTTTTCCTTTTCACAGCTAAAATTTAAAACTTTTCAAACTATGAACTGTGTGACTCAGAGTTTGGGTAATGGTTTGGTCACCTCATACCAAATACTGGCACTGAAGGCATCCAAATGTCAGTGTTAGAATCTTGGTTTTAAAAGATTTCTCATTTTGACAACGAAGTCATTTATTTGGTTATATTTGGTAAAATTGTCTATCTAACAGTAACTGAATTCATGTGAGCCAAACTAATATAAAAAGTTATTTTGTGTGATACTGACCATTTTGAGGCTGCTTCCTAAGTCAACCTGTAAGCTCTATATTAGCTTCTCTTTCATGTTCACACAGTTACATGTTGTGAATCTTTTATTTGAGTCCAACATAAATTCTGTCTGGTTCACTTACTGCCGAAGACTCTGACTGGGTTCCTGAGGTGTCGCCTCAGTTCTCTGTAGTTATTTCAGAAGGCAGAGCAGCTATACCCGGTTGGTGCATAAACACTTCCTGTTTGGCCAAAAGCTTGCTTTGATAATGTTATTCTGGGTTGTTATGCAAGGTTTGCTGGACACATTTTCACACCACATCTAAAGAAAAGCTTACACTGGAATGAGTCTTGACAAGTCCTGTGTTGGAAAATGACAATTAAACAAAGAAAATACAAGATATAATGGCTTTAAAAACAAGAGCTCTGCTGATGAGAGCTACATTGTTTAAAGTTTCTAAGCTGACTTTTTGATGAATAGTTGACAACTCCTGACCTCCATGTGTTTTGGAAATGTTTGCCTGGCTGACTAACAATGGTTGGCTTATGACCAGGTAGAGAAATTCCAAACTGGCATCCCCCGGCACATGCACACTCCAAATGTAGTGAACAACGCAGTGTGGCCTGTGCACACATCCTGCCTTTGTGGGCCTGGCATGCTAAAAGTCCAGACTGCAGCTGTTGTTCACCACTATCTCATCCCCGTTTCACCACTAGCTTTACTGGCCTAACAGGTTGGAGTGTGTGGTTTGCTGCACCACCTGTGCTTAGGATGTTGAACACATTGTTTATAGAGGAGCAAACATTCAGTTTAAAGGTGGCATCTCACTGGGCTACAACTTGGCTAACAGCATTCATAAAGGAGTCTCCAGAATGTCTTGCGACATTGACAGCAGTTCATAAATGCCTCACGAATTGCCGTCTCTTGAGTTTTGAACATGCTCAAATAATTTTGACCACAGATTGCAGACAACTCAAATCCACATGATTTCTGACCTGGGCATCTCTAACCTGTCCCAAGAGTGTTTGGAGCTGTACTTTGACACCTGCAGAAGCTTCCCTCTGATAGAAAACATGTCCAGGTCTAAAAACCACAATGGTGATTAAAAATAGGTCCAAAATAGCTATTAGCCATCCTGGCTAACAGCTCCTTGTCCTTGTGCGACTCTTGGCTATTGAAAAACGATTGCTTGATGGAGGGGTGGACTCTGTTGAAGTTTTAGAACAATTGATTGTACCTAATTGCTCATTTTTACTGTGATGTAGTGCGCCAGCACGACTGTGAAGGAAGCTATGCTAAGAAGCTAACCAGAAATTGTGTGTGCTGTAAATGATAGCAGTCTCAGAGCTGTGGCTCAATGATGAAAAAAATAACTTTCAAATTGAGGCGTATGGACTATATTATATAAATGTCAGTAATATAAGATGTGGAGGAGTTGATTTACAAAGATATTAAGACTGAAATAAAGGGTAAAATGAATGATAAAATATCAACAATAGCTGATAATGTAATAATTACAGTTGTGATATTAAAGGAGAATTTTAAAAATGTAATAATCAGTTGGGTGTATTGATCTCCAGGTTTAAATATAAAATTATTTACTGATAAAATCTTATAGCTCTTTGAAATGAGTTGTAATAAAACAGTTTTTTCATATGGGGACTTTAATATTGACTTGGAAAATAAAAAATGACTCAAATAATATCAGTACGTTAATAATAAACTATACTACTACGATAGCTTGAGTCTTTACACATTAATATCCAGACCAACAAGAATCACAACTCATAGTACAACAGTGATTGATAACATTTGTGTAAGAAATGGAGAGGTGATAAGTGGGACTTTATTATGATTGATATAAGTGATCATTTACCTGTTTTTACAATCTATAAAAATTATCAATGTGGTCATACAGATGCTACAATAACTAAGGAAAGGATAAACACATAAAAAAAGCTTTGGATAAATTGAAAGATGATTTTAAAAACTGGAAGGATGTGTATGTAGATGATGTAAACAGAGCATATATTATGTTTATGAATATTTTGGGACCTCTATATGAAATGAATTGCAAAAAAATTGCACTAAGACTAAATTTTTTTAACAAACCATGAACGACCAAAGGGGTAATAACTACTTGCAAAAAATTACTTGTATTCATGCTTCTTAAAATTAAGAACAAAAGAAGTGAAAGAGAGACAAGAAATATAAAAGTAAACTGGTGTGAATTATAAGAAAGCATAAGAAAGAATATTTAAGTGACTTACTAAATAAAAGTAAGGATGGTATGAAAGCATGGGGAATAATGACTATGTTGTTTTTATTTTAATTTTTTATTTGTTTTGGGAGGTGTACAGTGCCCTGAGATGACACATGTTGTGTCTTGGTGCTTTATAAATAAACTGAATACTCATATTTTGATGTCAATAAATATAATGTGCAGCTTTAGACAATGTTTCTGAATTATGTAAATACGTATGTGGTATCTTCAAAGTCAAAGAGAAGTGCTTAAAAAAAGACAAAATTATGTAAATTATTAGTCTGWGTCCCTGGATCTTTAGTTTCATGTATTATTGAGTTCAGGTTGCAGCATTCCTCCTCTCTGCATRTTCCTATGTGAATTACATCATTATGTCTTCAAACCAGGAAGTGTTACAGCAACAATTTGCAAAAGTTTAAGTTTCTAAAAAGGTTATATTTAAGCAGCACATTTCAGGTTTAGGATTTGTTAACTTCTTATTTTGTTTTGAAACATTTTATTAAGCTTTCATTGTCATCATTCAAATGACATTTGTTTTATGAGTAGGTGAGTCAACACTTTCTGCAAGGACTTTCCATYGTAACACTTTTTTATGTGCTTCAACGATGACAGCGGGAATGCAAAGGGTTTCCTACCAGTTATGTGAATTTAAGGTTAAAGCTGGATTTCCTGGAATGGTGCCCAGTAGGAAAGAGATTGAGGAAACGCAGGATGTCCTGAGCGCATTGTTCTGCAGCAGCAAGGAGAGCAGTGTTTACAGGGATTTTCTCCACACYACCACCACTTAAAAACTACATGGGATTCCCACTCAGGGTTTCCGTGACACCTTTTCCACCGTTGTTTCCTATCCCATTTGTTTTTGTTTGACTTGTTCTTTTTGGTTACCTGACCTGCCTGAAAAATATGGAAATAAAGGTTAGTTACTCATAATCTGTTTTTCTGTTGCAAGTTTGGAAATGAAATTGCTTAAACAATGCTGGGGTATATTGATCTAGAAATTCTGACTTGTTGACGCTCATCACATATCACACAGTGACTTGAACAGCGATTCACACATCAGACTCCTCATTCCTCTGGATGCTCTCCAGCTGTCTTGAGAAGTGAGTCAGTGATGTCATGGGTTAGGGTGGGGGCTTGTGTGCCTATAAGTGCACAGGGAAGCCTCTTTATGAAGTAGAAGCTGTGTTCACAGCAACACTCTGCAGGAGAGGTTGAACTCAAACTGGAGACCTCTCRGGTCACAGACTGAATCAGGGATATTGTTGCATCCTGGATACATTCTCTAATTCTGGATGTCAGGACCTCAATTTTCTGTYCTGATTTTTTTAAGGAGGGTTTTACAAACTTCACTCGCTGTTGTTTTTAAAATGCTTCYAGCTGCCAGTTTGCCAATCATTTTCACCTTGTTTCTGCAGAGCAGTGCCATAGTTATGGTGAGTTTCTCCAACTTCACTTTTTTTTGGCTGTAATTTTTATATAGATTTTTAAAAAGTAATCTTGTCTTGACCTCTGACCCTGTATCTCAGGCAGAAGATGAGTGCCCGTCTGAGTGCTCCTGTAGCCCCTCACCCCTGCAGTGCCCACCTGGTGTCAGTTGGGTGACTGACTCCTGTGGCTGCTGTAAAATCTGTTCTCGGCAGTTCAACCAGGACTGCAGCGCCACCGAACCCTGTGATCACATCAAGGGGCTACGCTGCCACCTGGGGGCTGGAGGAGATTCCAAGAGGGGGCTGTGTCGAGGTGAGAAATGCATGTTTCAGAGTGAACTGTCATTTATCAGTTCCTGTGCCTGTCCACAGTCCATCAGCTCCCTGCAATGGATTGAGTGTTGACATCTAATTGAATAGGTCTTGAACTGTTTGATTAAGAGTATAGATTTGTCACAAAACAAACCAATTTTTCCACCTGGAAGTATTGTTAAACKTGTACATTTGACTCTGGAAGAGTCTATAATTTTCTAAATGGAGAGGACCCCAGTTTTGAGTATGTGGTGTTTGGATTTACGTATAGCCTTTTCCCCGTAAATAGAGGTTATGGTATTTAATTATTTTAATTTTACCCATTCTTTATTCGAAAAGGCAGGTCTCATTTTTTTTAAATCAGTGTTGTTTGTAGGGTTGGATCATATTAGCAGTTTGTCATCAGTATTGACACATGCATTAAAAAGACATTTTGACATCAGCCAAGTCATAAAGATTAGATCAGATTTTGTCTGGTTGTGTTTAGTGGTAAAGCTTGTAAAAGTTAGGATGAATAAAGTTGTTTTACCTTTTTTTAATAAATACAGAATGTGAATTATCTTTAATGTCTTCAAGTTCAAGCCACATCGATGAAAGTGAAAACAGTTGATTAGTTCCACTACAGAAGAGGTTTTCTGAGTGGCTGCTTTTCAAAATGAGAAAGTTTAGATGACAGATATGTGTATAAACCTTTCACCATAATATGAATATTTCACACTCTTTGAAGACATCGTCTTAAACAATGATGAGGATAATTTATGAATTTTTACTGCGCTGTGCTGACATGCAGCTGTGGGGCAGCCATCTTTGAATTTGAGCTAAATGTGTTCATAAACTGACAGGCAGCTTTCTGAGCTATGGGTTTCCTGTCATTTTTTAAAAGTTGCTTCACTTGTCTTCCCCTTCATGAAAAAATGAAAAGTAACCTTTTTTTTTTTAGCAAATTTATCTCTGAGAATCATCCTGACCTCACCCTTTAAATCCCAGACTTTGTTTTGTTGTATTTTTGTGTTTTTGACATAATTTCCATTACATTTTGCATAAATCAAATCCATTTTTCTGCCGTTTTAATTAATTAATTTTTTTACACAGTAGCGGCAGTGCATTGTGATTGACAGCTTGTGATCCATCTCTTTTGTGCCTTTCTGTTTTCCTCCTTTTGCAAAAGAAGAAGACAGAAATGAGACAKTATCCAATGATTACAAAGTACAGACACTTAATATTGTTTGTAGATTTTTTTTTTGACTTTTTGTAAATTGACACAGTTAAAAGCGGGACATTGTGCATGTGTCACCAACCTCTCCATTGCTAATGCCAGCTTATCCATGCTAGCCGCTAGCCTCTCCGATGCGAACTAGGGTTACCAAGTGTCCCGTATTAGCTGGGATTACCTGTATTTTCAGCCAAATTGAAGTGTCTTTTCAATTCATGCTTATTTTCCCRTATTCTGAGTGCAGCCTGCAGAACGYTACGGCAGGCAGGTAGGAATTTGTAYAGCACCCAGGCCTGGACAGGCCATCAGGAGAACTGGGAGGTTTCCTKATAGTGTCATTATTAAACCAAAACAAAGCTAAAATGGAAAACCAGGAATAACTATAGTATAATTTTTCTTTATGAATTTTCAGTCTCTCATATGGTTGCTTTAGTTCATTGAGATTTGCAGACATTTGWTTCAGCTCTCTGAAGGTCCCACTACAGCATTTTAATCAGGATGAAGTCTGGACATAGGTTTGGACCATGACAACATTGATTTGTTTCATTTTTAGCCATTCTGGTACCGATTTGTTGCTGCATTTGGGATTATTGTTCTGCTTCTTGACACAATTTGGTCCAAGCCTCAGCTGTCATATTTGACTCCTTTGGTCTACAGTGGGGTTCATGGTTGATGCAATCACCACAAGATGTCAGTGCTCTGTGGCTGCAAAACTAACCCAAATCATCATAACTTACCTCCACCACTGCACTTGAAATATGGTRTGAGGTGTTTGTGGTGATACGCTGTGTTTGGTTTTCTCTAAACATGGTGCTGTGCATTATGGACATCCTCTCTACTTTGTTCTCTTCTGTCCAAAGGACATTTTTCCAGATGTCTTTTTGGTACATTCAGAGAAAACTTATCAAAACAAAGTCATCTTGCTAAGTTCTTTTTTGGGAGAAGCGGCTTTCTTCTACTCTTCAAGTCGTATAGTCTTTTTCTAATTTCAGTCTTACTGAAAGTCTTACTTTAACCTTTAACCTGCTTGTAGAGTTTGCGCAAGGGTGTCAAGGCGATGCTCATGGGATGGGCCCAGCACAAGTATTATGAAGCGCCACCACTATGTAAACGAATGGGACATTCTTATTCCCAGTGACAATATGTAYAGATAAGAAAAAGGTGACACAAACTGGTTGGGAGTGTTTGGTCTTGCACTAACATTTCAGGGTGACCAAAGAACTGTGCTCCCTGCTAATAACTAGTTGGCATCCTCACTGATAAATCACAAGAAAATAACCAGTGTACCGAAGAACATTAAAGAGGTAGGCCTACTTCAGCAACTTGGAGGTAGATATACTTTATTGATCCCCAGATCATTACAGTACAGCACTGCATCTCAGTTTTTTTTATTATGGTTATTTTTAAGAATAGCTGTTGGTCTTTTAGTGTTCTGAAATTGAGTCTGAATTTATATGTGTTTGTCTACAGTGATAATTTTATGTAATTTTCTACATAATTCCCTATTAAACATGTCAAAAATGTTTCAAACACCATGTCAGTGGTGTTATCCTTCCATAAAGTTGAAAGGTTTCTTACCGCAGCTCTATGGTGTGTTGACAGCTGAGGCCCATGGTTTGCCCTGCACCTTTAATGGGCGTTTCTACCAGCACGGTGAGGACTTCCAGCCTGTCTGCCAGCACCAGTGTACCTGCATGAATGGTGTGGTGGGCTGCACGCCTCTGTGTCCTTACCAGGTGCCCCTGCCCCRTCAGCGCTGCTCCAAGCCAAGGTTGGTCAAGCCTGAGGGTGGCTGCTGTGAAGAATGGGTGTGTGATGATGATAACTACATCAGCAAGGAGCTGCAGGAGCAGAAGACACTTTCCTCCCAGTCGGACAGCCAACCTCACCCCAACCACATCAATGCCCTTCTTCAACCTCAACACCTGCCTGCCCCATCCAGAGGTACACATCACAGCAGATCTAAGCTGTTCTTTTTCTGATGCTCCTTGATCGAAGAAAGACAACATGTGTAAGAAATCAAAATCTGATAAACTCCCCAAATCTCACGCTGGCTGCTGAGATTCATTGTTACACTGTCCTGTCTCTCTCCCAGAAATGGTGTCCTTCCCCATGTCAGAGGTGTTGTTTGAGCCACGTTGTTTCCTGCAGACCACCGAGTGGACCCCGTGCTCTACCACATGTGGGATGGGCATTTCCAGCAGAGTGACTAATAATAACCCGGACTGTCGACTGCTTAGAGAAACCAGGCTGTGTGAGATCCAACAGTGTGAGCTTCAGCTTCCTGTACTCAAAAAGGTATTGCCCCAACAAGAGAATGTACCATTGTTTGAAACTGAATTCAGTTTGTTTACAGCAAATAGCACCAATTTAAGCAGACCTCCATTATCAAACAATGTGGTAAAGGAAAAGGATCTCTGCTGCCAAAAATATAAAAATAGTTGACTGTTTTGAGATATTTCACAAAAACTTAGAGATTTGTGGCTGATACAGAGCACACACAGGTTTGTGTCTAAAATGACACAATGAGGGAGGTTTCTAACAGACAAATACATCGCATTAAGAGRGCAGCTGTTAAAATGCCAATAGAAAGCAGCAAACAGGTATTTGAAGCTGCTCATGCCTCATGTGTTGCACAAACATCAAGGTGTAGGATTGTCCAGTGGCKTGCATTCTTGTATAAATGTTCTATTCAGCCACCACTTGTGCTCACAAGCAGAAACAGTTGCAGTGGGCCCAGAAATATAAAGACTAAAATCATCTTCATGCGTTTTAATGCACCATCTAATGCTGCAAGGAATACTTCAGATTTATTGCCTGCTATGGGCACAAAAGGGAAGAAACTCATGGTTTGTCCCCCGTCCTCCCCTGACCTCACCTTTAGAGCATCCTCAAACAAAAGATGGGTGTCAGTTCACATCCAAACAGCTGCTTYAGGAGGCTATTCTGACATTATCCAAAAAAATTCAAGCATAAACTCTCCAAAACTCACTTGTTCAGTGGATTTTGTGTGACTTGGCCTGTCAAGATGTTTTGTTTGAATTAGCTTTTAATTTCAGTAAGCATGGGACAGCTGCAAATTCAACAAATTACCGTTTTTAGTTCTTTCAACCTATGAAATGTTTAGAAAATCTCTTGCGCRTAACAATTAGGAAAAGTGCATTTTATGTTTTTTTATATTTAAAAAAATGCCGTTATCATTGGGAGTTTTTCCTAAAACATTCAAACTATACTTTAACAGTTGATGACTTGAAAATCATGTCATTTGCATTGATTAGGAATWTCAGAGAAAAATGTAATTTGCRTAATAATTTGGAACGCTGTAMATAAAGACTGCAGCAGAGTGAGGGAATATGGCAAGATGTTATTCAGCAGTTACATCTACAGCAGTATAACTCAAAGGTCTGCCAAAAAATACAATCCAACAACTCCAGTTGGTCTACTCTAGAATGCAGCTGCCAGAGTCTTAACAAAATAATACCAAACAATTTCCGCACATAACCCCAGTTCTTTGTGTTGAAGTTACTTTTAGTTTCTACAGCAATGACATGTGAAACAAACTGCCTGATGAGCTCAGATTTGAGTCTGATCTGACCTTACTTAAATTTATWTTAAAAACATTCTTATTTACTATTGTTTAAACTAATCACTTTTGGACTTTTAATTATTGCTTTCAATAACTGTTTTAAAATGTTTATCTTGCTGTATGTGTGTTTGTGTGCACAGGTAGTTGTGCCCTGTTCGTGTTAACTTGTATGTTATCCTGTAAAGCACCTTGAGCTACCTACTGGAATGAAATGTGTGAGACCAGGGGTGTCAAATTCATTTTCACTGAGGGCCACGTGGACATTTTGGTGGCCCTCAAAGGGCCATTTGTAATTAATTTCAATATTTTGTTTAACTTTGACAGAAAACATCAT